TCCCCACTATTGCTACCGTTTCGGCCATCTCGGCAGCAGCATTCCTCAAACAGATGGGCGAAACTCACTCCTTTCCCAACAGATCAAGAAACTGTCTCTTTTCCATTCAAGTAGCTGCAAGCATGTATCCTTTGGGAGTCCAACATCGCAAACGCATTAAGGAACGGCTTTGTGTCCAGCTATCAACCACGTCCACGTACACAGATTCAGGAAGAAATGATCAGACAGGAAACATCTCCAACACCCACTGTCAATCACGATCCCGTCAGGCCGAATCAGCACATCTCATTCTACACAGTAAGGGTTCGCCTTCACCGTTACTACTTCATACGAGACAACACAAGAGATGCAGACGAATCCTCTCGGGTGAACGTCAACCTGCGAGCACCCACAAACCAAGACACGGAGCAGCACTGCCCATCCACAACACCTGGAGAAACCCCAGCCAAGTAGGGAGGGAAGTTCCGAAGAGGGACAATATTCACGAGGAGGAACAACATGTCACTTCCCCATTTAAGGAACCACACGCACCTTTCCTTTGGCAAACAACATTAAGCAACGGGTTTGCATCCAGCTATCAACCAGGCCCAAGCAGAGCCGTCTCAGATAAAGCCATCAGGAAGGAAAATTCTCAAAACCCAAGCGTCCACCACACTTGCCCGACTGCATCATGCAGAATCATTAGTTTACCACGTTCACTGCTCCTACCTCATTCGAGGGTTGTAATCAAAACAGTGTGAGTTGAACCTGAACCTGTCACCACCGAAGAACGAAGAAGTGCCACCGCACTACTGCTACCATTTCTGCAGCAGCATTCCCCTAAAACGTGGACGACAGTCTCTCCTTTGTCAGTAGGGACAAAGAATCTCTCTATTTTCCTTCATGACGCCGGCGGAAAGTTTCCTTTGCCTGTCCAACACCGAAAAAGCATTACCCAAAGATTTCGTGTCCAGCTGTCAAACGCTTTAAAGCACACATATTTAGGAAAAATCGATCACCAAAGAAACATCTCCAACACCAACTGTCATTCCCGAACCTGTCATGCAGAATCAGAGGATCTCATTTTACACAGTAAAGGTTCGCCTTCACCGTTACTAACTGAT